AACCTTCCATAATAGGTTACCTCTTTAAAAATTGCTTTTATTGGATATTTAGGTGAAGGACTTCCGTGTATATAAACTTTTTCCAAGGTAATGTCACAGGGAAATTGGAAACTTTTGACAATTTCTTTAATTTACCTGAAGAAAAACCATTAAATTTGACTGGAAATGAAAGAACATACTTTTCCGTTTATAACGGATTATTTTGCTTAAGGGGTTAATTCCACGATCCGTAATAAGCGTGCGAATGCAAAAAAACAGGCCACATATATGACCACTTTTCGAAATACTTATTATTCTTCTGTCAGTTCTGTTTCTAAATAACGCTTGATCTGAACCTATTGTTTACAAAAAACTATATTTCTACATGACTTACATTCAATAAGGCCTTTTATAGGTTGTCTTCGCGGTAACATATGGAAACTTTGCTTACGCGCAAGGCTAGCTGTGCGGTAAAAGAAAATGTTCTACCAAAACTTTTTGTTACTGCATTTTTTGCAAAAAGACTTCACAGAATAGCTAAATATAATTTTTAAAACTTCTATTGCTGCTTGTTTTTGAAAATAAATGTGATTCCTTAAACTTCGCTTCACTTCCATTTGATCGACTTCACACAAAATTTTCCAGTTCTGGAAGGGATTGTTATTCCACCTTGTTTTACTAATTATGGAATTCTTCCACAGCACAGTGTACATTAGAAGAAAGTTTGGTTCTATCTTTCCTTACAGAATAGGGAATTTCTTTAATATAACCTTACTCATGATTTAGCTAAAATGAGTGCCTATTTCCCCCAATAACTTTACCTAAGAGGGCAGTTTTCCAAACCAAAGCCGTTCTTATTATTAAATCCATTTACTTGATCAAAATAACCTGTCCAGATATACGCTAAACTACCAAGTGAAATTTTGTCATGAAAGTTGTTTGCAGGACTCGCAGGACTGTACTTGGCGAAGCCTTCCTTACATCAAAACGCGTCTGAAATTGTTGATAGGCACCTAAGAAAGCACCAAATTCGGGTGGCACATAAACCAACGACGACTTTACACACCCAATCGGTACACTCTAAAAATAGGGCTAATTATTTTGAGTAGAAAGAAGTTGCCTACAAGATCCCATTTGGCGCCTGCGAACATCATTGGCGACACGGTGACGACCAACTGGCGCAAACGCCAGGCTATTGTTGATTTTCCCTGTGCATTTACGACGTTAGTTGTTTCTTGGCGCATGTACTTTAGTCTGCGTCTGATGACGAAATGAGGAACCAACGTTGAAAATTTAGACAACACGTATTCA